GGTGGGAGAATATGATTTGTGTGAAAGACGCTGTAAAAAGTCAGTTAGTATGTTTCAGATAAACTTGGGGCTGCAGTGATGTTCAGCCAAGCACTGGAAGTCTCAACTTCTCCAATACTCTGCATGTTGTTATGAAATAATTCTCAGAATTTTGATGTCCTTTAAATCATTTTCCCATATTCTTTTAGTTGCCTTTTAAAATTCTCCACTCAAAAAAAAAAAAAAAAAAGAAAATCAAAGATAGTATTTGGCCATAAAACTAATGGCTTGGAAGGCATCTCTGTACCTCTTCAGCACCATGGCAGGGATGCAGTGGTGAGCTTTGAATGGGACCTTGCTGAGGCTGGGCTGGAAAGGCGAGAGAGAAAGACAACGAACCGGGTAAATAACCCGTGTCATGCCTCGGTGCTTCAGCGCCAGCTGTAACGCGGTGGGAAGAGCCGTTTCCTATCTCATGGAAGGATGACAGGAGCGAGTGCTTTCCGAGGTGCTCAGCTGCCTCTGTAACGGGCTGAAAGAAGCAGAAGATATCTTGTGAATATAAATAAGCGCGTGGCTGTTCCACCTGGCCAGACCCCGCTGGGAAGGCGCTGGCGGTAAGAGACAGACCAGAATCTCTCCGCAGGGCTGTCAGGGGAGCGTGGCAGGACTTCAGCCCCTCGGCAGAGCCTCTGCGCGGCGGTGCCCCGGCGGCAGCGCGGCTGTGCCCGCCCGGCCGGCGCACGGGGGCGGCTGCGGGAGCGTGTGCGGGCCAGGCAGCGCCGGGACGAGCCCCCGGGGCGCTCCCTCTGCCGGCCGGGCCCCGGGGGCCGGGACAACTCGGGGCGGGGCCCGCAGAGGGGCCGGTTCTCCTTCCCGCCCCCGTCCCGGCGCGGAGAGCGGCGGTGACCCGCGCGGGAGCGGCTCCCGGCGGGAGGGCGGGGAATCCACGCCGGGATTTCGGTGACACGCTGACATCAGGGGGGCGCGGCCGGCGGCGGGCGGGGGCTGCGCGCTGAAAGCGGCGGGGCGCGGCCCGGCTCACTCCGGCACGGCGGCGGGGCAGCGCGGAGCGGCCCCGGCACTGCCCCGGCGGCATCCGCGCCGCCAATGTGCCGCGGGAGGCGGGCGCTCACCCCGGCCCTAGGTAAGCCCGGGCGGCGCTCGCACAGCCCGTCCCGCCGGGTCAGGTGCGGGCGGGCGGCGGGGGCTCCCCGAGCCCGGGCGGCGCTCGGCTGGGCTGGGGCGGCCGCCGGGCGAGGCGTGCGGGAGGCGCGGGAGAGCTGAGCTCCGCTGCGGGGCAGCGGGCGGGAGAGCCGGGGGTCGGCTCCCCGGGCGAGCAGCGCCGAGCTGGTCGCGATTCGCTGGTCGTGTAGAACCGCCGGGTCGGTGCCTTGCCTGTCCCGCCCGAGCTGACGGGGGTCTCTCCGGCGTGACCCTCTCGGGATAGCGAGGAGCCTGCGGAGCCCCAGGTGCCGGGCTGCGGTGTGCGTGGCCACCGCGTCCTGCCCGTGCCCCGAGCCTGTCACCCGGCCCCCGGCAGCGACAGCCGGCACATGGCTGCGTGCAGGGAGCTCGCAGGGCCATTGCGCTCTGCCGCTGGCTTCGTTCGCAGCTTGCTCTGGAGAGCGAGAGCAGCTTCGTGGTTGGTTTAGAAAGAGAAAAAAAAAAAAAAGGAAAAAAACTGAAACGAAAAACCCCAACCAAAATTTCTCGCACCAGGGGTTGTGGTTGCACTTTGCCAGACGGGACTTGCGGCGAGGACCATGCGGTGAAGCCGAGCGCCGGAGCGGGACCGCAGCCCTGCACTCACGGGCCGAGGAGAACAAACAGCCCGAGCAGGAGCCGCGCACCCGCCGCCTCTTCCCAGAGACCTGCATCGCAACAGCCCCGCTGCCTGCCGCAGCCTGCCGCTGCCTGAGGCTCGATCCAGACACACCGCTCTGCAGGAAGGGCTGGATTTGCTGCCCGTCGCCTCCGGACCGAGAGCCCCGCTGCCGAAGGAGAGCGCTGCTCCCCTGGGCGCCCCGCGGAGGAGCGAGCCCGGGGCGGGCGGCTGATGCTGACCCCCGGGAGAGGGGGGCTGCGCCGGGCAGCACAGCGGGGCTTCCCTCCGCTGGCCCACTAGGACGTGGAGATCGGCGAGCGAGGGCTGTGCGGGGACGAGGAGCGCAGCCCGCCGGCCTTCCCCGCCCCGCGGGGCCGGGAGGGCGAGGAGCCGGGGCCGCGGTCCCGCCGCCCCCCGCCCGCTGGATTTGCCGTTCCCGGTGACTCCCCGCAGATATATCAGTAAGTTGGGGACCCGCCGAGCGCTCGCAGCGGGGCCGGCACTGCCGCGGCGAGCAGGTGCCGCGGGGCTCAGAGGCGCCCGCCTGGCGAGGGGCGGCCCCCGGCCCCCCTCCCACCGGCCCCCTCCCGAAATACAGGGACCGGGATCCCGCGGGAGGGCTCGCGGGGGACCGCAGTGGGCTGGGAACGAGCAGGAGGTCAAAAACACCCGCCAAACGCTCCTGGCAGGCGGGGGGCGGAGGGTGCCGGACCGCGGCGCGGGGAACCCCCGGGGCTGAGTGGCCGCTCCCCCCGGCGCTGCCGCTTTAAGCACCGGGTATTCCGCCCTCCCGAGGCAGCGCCGGGCTGGGCTCTGCCCTCCCCTGCGGAAAGGAGAGAAGGAGGGAAAGAAAAATAAAAAAAAAAGAAGCCCATGTTTTCATTCATAACTTTTTTTTTTTTTCCCCTTTCCCCTCCTCTTCCTTCCTCTCCGTCAGCGCCGCGATCCGCTCCGCTCCGCTCGGGGCGCAGAGGGCGCCGCGCCGCCGCCCGCCCGGGGCTGCGGGAGCGGGGCGGGACGGGGCGGGGGGGCTGGCGGCGCGTCCGAGCGGGTGCGGGGAAGGGGAGAGAAAGGAAGGGAAAGGGGATCCCACCCCCCGAGGTGTGCGGGGAGGGAGCGCAGCTCCGGGTGCAGAACCGTAAGGGCTCTCGCCGCCTGCACCGTACGTTGTTTTATGATTTTATCTTGCTTATTTTTATTTTATTGTCGGGGGGGAACCAGTTTACGACCGATCTGCGCGGGGGTGGAGGTGGCTGGTTCGACTCTCGCCTCGGTCTGCAGCTGGGCTTGTCAGTCTGCGCCGCGTTGATGTTGCGCTTTCCCCCCAAAGATGGCACTGGATGTCTTTCGCATTTTCTTGGGATATTGTTTTTCATCCCCTGGGGAGCCCAGCTCCTGGCTGGTACAGCTGTAAATCTTTCCCTTTTCGCATTCATTCACCCTTGGTCTGTCGTGGATTTGTATTCAGTGCTCGTGAAGAAGGCGGCTTGTTGTGTGGGGTAGGAGGAAATTCTTTGCTGTGAGGATGGTGAGGCCCTGGCACAGGTTGCACAGAGAAGCTGTGGCTGCTCCATCCCTGGAAGTGTCCAAGGCCAGGTTGGATGGGGCTCTGAGCAACCTGCTCTAGTGGAAGGTGTCCCTGCCCTTGGCCAGGGAGGTTGGAACTGGTTGGATGGTCTTTAAGGTCCCTTCCAACCCAAACCATTCTGAGATTGTATTTTATGAATTAGAAGTGAGCGTGTTTGGTTTTCTTTTTAATCTGGTGGCCCTAAAGCCCACACAGGTGACGCTAGATGTAAAATGAAGTCTTTGACTGCTGGGTGAGCACAAAGACTTTGTGTCCTGGCAGAAGCTGTCGCTCACTGTTCATGCTGACTGTGTTAGAAGAAGCTTTCCTCTTCTTGTCATCCCTGTTCTTCCACGACACAGTGCCCTTTTCTCTGTGGAGTGGGGAACAGCTCTGTGCTAGTTGTGTTCTGGGTAGATAAGACACTTTCTTAGGATTATTGGATGAATTTTGGAAATGCTTGATACCACTTAGCTTTCCCTGCTTTTCAGGTAAACAGGTATGACATCTTGGAGGGGAGTGAAAAGGTAAAAAGGGACTTTTCCTCTGGCTGACAGTAAAGAAAATCAGGGTTTTTTCCTTGGTTCCCTGTGTAAGTGTGGCATTTAAATACTCAGCTAAATTTCTGTATAGGTCCAGAACTGTCACTGCAGTTTTCTGAGTGAGCGTTGCAATCTTCATGTTGCCAGCTAGGCAGGATGAAAAGGGATGGAAATATGTGACAGTTCTACTATTCTTCCACTATTTAAAAGACTAGAAGATGTTCTACTTATTTGAGAAGCTTTTAATCTGTCTGATGAAAATGGATTTGTTCTTTGTTTGTGTTTTGAGGTTGTTGTTGGGGTTTTTTAATCTGCTCTTAACATTCTTATGAATCCTCAGGTACTTTTTGTCTGACACTTAGTTCATCTTAGCCTTTTCTACTCCATTTTTCTTTCACACCTTGGCCTGTGGTCAGGAAATACTTGAAAACAGGTTGTTTGCACCCTTGCTTTAATTTTATAAGGAGCCTGTTAGATCTGTAGGCTGAGTTACTTTCTCATAGAAAATGTCTTGGCCACTTGACAGCACTTAGTTCAGGACTCTGTAATGCACATACGTCACTTTAAGAAGGAGACTTTCCAAATGCACTAGGAAGCAAATTTGTTGAGCTTTCTGATGCTGCAGATTCAGAGAGAAGAGAACTGGTCATGTTCCTTACTCTGCCATGCGGAACATGAACATGATGGTGTTCTTGCCTGTTTCCAACTCAGTTTTGGGGGCATTCGGAATTGCTATTGCTAGTTAGGCAGATGTTGAGTTCAGTAGCAAGGGAGAAGCACTTCCCATGGCTTGCCAAGCAAGCATACCAGCTAATACTGGTTTTTTTTAGATGGCATGGGGTCTCCTTTGCATTCCTCATCCATGATGCCATATCCATACTCTCCCCACTACTGGATTTTGGCCAGATCCTCAGCGTTGCTGTAATCCCCTGCTGAAAGAGATCAGTACCAGGTGGCTCGGGCAATTTGGGCTTTGTCAGATCATTTCTGTTTTCAGAAAGTCTCCACCCTTGATCTTGTGTATGTGTGTGTACATGTACACACGCAGTGTTTATTTACACCTTCTGTCTTCTTCTTACTTTAGGGTTGCAGATGCATGCCAGGTTCCCGCTGAATGCCAGCAGTAGAGATCACTCCAGATGGAGCCCCAGGGTCAGCATGGCAGCGGCGGTTCCGTGGTGGTGATTCAGCAGCCCTCCTTGGACAGCCGGCAGCGCTTGGACTATGAAAGGGAGAGCCAGCCCACGACGATCTTGTCACTGGACCAGATCAAGGCCATCAGGGGCAGCAACGAATACACCGAAGGTCCTTCTGTGGTGAAAAAGTCTGCTCCGCGGACAGCACCGAGGCAGGAGAAGCATGAAAGGACTCACGAGATTATACCAATTAATGTGAATAATAATTACGAACACAGGTCCAGCCATGTGGGGCACGTGGCACATCAGCATAACACGAGGGCTCCCGTCCTGAGCCGGTCGACCAGCACGGGGAGCGCGGCCAGCTCTGGGAGCAACAGCAGCGCCTCCTCGGAGCAAGGGCTGCTGGGGCGGTCACCCCCGTCCCGGCCGGGCTCCGGCCACAGATCCGATCGGACAATCCGGGCGCAGCCCAAGCAGTCGTCTCTGATCGTGGATGATCTGAAGGGTCCTTTGAAAGAGGACTTGACGCAGCACAAGTTCATCTGCGAACAGTGTGGGAAGTGCAAGTGCGGGGAGTGCACGGCGCCGAGGGCGCTGCCGTCCTGCCTGGCCTGCAACCGGCAGTGCCTGTGCTCGGCCGAGAGCATGGTGGAGTACGGCACCTGCATGTGCCTGGTCAAAGGGATCTTCTACCACTGTTCCAACGACGATGAAGGGGACTCTTATGCGGATAATCCCTGCTCCTGCTCCCAGTCACACTGCTGTTCTAGGTACCTGTGCATGGGAGCCATGTCCTTGTTCCTGCCTTGCTTGCTCTGCTACCCTCCGGCCAAAGGATGCCTAAAACTCTGCCGAGGGTGCTACGACCGCGTCAATCGTCCGGGTTGCCGGTGCAAGAACTCCAACACAGTCTATTGTAAACTGGAGAGCTGCCCCTCCCGGGGTCAGGGCAAGCCCTCATGATTTTGGGAGGGAGGTTTACTTCCTCCAACTTTGGTTTTTCAGGTTGTAGCTGATTTTTTTTTTTCCCTTTCCTTCTTCCCCTTCCTCTCCCGTTTTGGGAGGACTGTTCTTTTCCTTTCCCTTCTGTCTCCCTAGCTTCAGATACACAAGTTCTTCCCTTTGCATCTTTGCTCTCCTCCTCCTATTGACTTGGCTGAGTGTGGAGCGTTTCATGTAGTCGTTGCTGCTCTTTGGTAAGTGTGGACCTGGTATCTGCACCTGTCGCTCACTTGGGCAGGGTCTTTGAGTTTGTAACTGAACCACTCCTGAGAGAGACAGTGAGGGCTCACTGGGCTCTTGAAGCTTCTTGCTCTGTGAATATCTCTTCCCAAAGATGTTTTTCCTTCTCAGCAATTTATGTTTTTTTTTTTCCTTAACCTTCCGGTAGCCAAGGAAGAATATCTTTCCTGAGTGAGCTGGATTGTGAAATAATTTTTTGTGTGTGTTCTTTCTGGAGAGGGATGTAAAATAAAGGCTTCACCAAATGAAAGGTCTGACTCTTCTATAAGCAGCCTGCTTCTTTTTGCATCTTTTTTTTTTCCCCACCCTCTCTTTTTGTCTTAACTTTCGGAACATTCTCACACCTGAGAATTACCCTGCCTCCTGCTTTTTTTTTTTTTTTTTTTTTTTTTTTTTTTTACATTTTCAATGTAACTTCAGTTTTTGCTACACTGTGTAGATCTTCACATTGGAGACATTGTGGCTGCAACATACTCATTTGTTTCTTTTGCTGTCCAATCTTTGAAGGATATTGCTCGCTCCACTCTCCTAATCTCGTTCTCATAGTCTGTCAGTATCAGTTGATATTAAAGTTGGTGGTGTTCATATATCCAAACAGCCTTCAGGTGTCATTGAGTCACCTAAATGTTCTTGAATCCTTCAAGTTTCTTGTGATCCTTTGGTTTAGTGAGTTTAGCTCTGCTCTGTACTTTATAATTTTATTCTGTCCCTGTTTTATTGCCTTAGCCACAAATTGTGGTCCTTTTTTGTATATTTTATGTATAAAACACAAAGTTGAATCCCAACTATTTTTAAGACAAAAGTCTGTTAAAACTTTTTTTATTGTAAAGAATATTTATTATGTGAATCTCTATTATTTTATGATATTTATTGCAAAAGACTTTGAAAATGTACTCATGTCTGAATATAACAAAATATCAATACTTAACGAAATAAGGATGACACGAAGAAAGTACATATGTTAACTATAATGCAGAAAATATATTAATTAATGAAAATGGCTCTTGAGTTCTTTTGTTACAACGACAGGTTGTGAGCTATGTGTGGAGTTTCTCCTTGAGGTCTGTCAGGTGGCAAATAATCTCCTATTGATACTTCAAAACCGCTAGTCTGTGCTCTAGTTTAGTTTACCTAATTTTAAGTTCACTAACTATATATCAAATAAGCTTTTTGCTATGGGATATTTAATACAATTGAATATATGTTGTGCTTAACAGTGCCAGAAAGTGGAGGCTCTATTTATTTATCAAAGCATTTGGAAGAATACAGTTGTGGAGGAGGAAACCACAACTTCCAAGTTGGTTGGTTTGTTTGTTGTTTTTTTTTCCTTAAGGAATATCACATTAACATGTAAAGCCATTTTAAATTTTCCTACATAAAACTTCCTGGCTGGTTAAATTGTGCAGCAACTGAAGAAATTAACCTCCCAAGCTCAAATCCAAATAAAAAGCAAGAGGCAGGATAAAAATAGCGGTTGTGTTGCTGCAGTTTTGCTAGCTTTGAAATTTGGGAATGTGTGTGTTTGGGCCTACGTCTATGGCTTATTTGGTTCTTTTCCCATAAGTTTTCCAATGTCAACTGAAACTATCTTCTGTCTTCAAATTAAAGGCTCTTAAGGGTGACCTAAGTGTCACAGCTACTTGTGGCCATTTAACACACGTTCAACAGAAAAAGCTTTTCATTAGGAGTGAATGGGGGGACCTCATTCTTCTTCTCATGTGGGTCAAGGTTACATTGCAGTTCTCCTGAACTTAAAAGTTTATTAAATGGATGTAATTTCACATGGTGTGTAGAGTAAGTGGTTCTAGAGAAACTCCACTTTAGAACACAGTAATGACTTGACAAATGTGCCATATCTTGCTTTTTTGAGTCCTGATGCTTTGAATTGCCATATTCAAGCTGTCCTTACTCCCAGCACTGCTGATGATTTGAATAAGCTTGTCTTTTTCAGTTAATTCTGTCAAAGCTGATTCAGTGTCATGTAAAAGAGCTGACTGAAAACCTACATTTTTATCAAATGGCACGGATGACTTCTGGGAGGTATGAAGTGAAATGATCACGTGGCTACATCTAGGAAAGCCCTTGCTTTGCAGTGTGCATTTGGTACTGCTGTTCTCCCGGCCTCCGTGTGACAAATGTGTCGGGCTGGGAGGCTTGTGGGGCAGTGGTGGACGTATAGGAATTCTGCTTTCCAAGACTTACTCTTCCTGAGATGAAGCAAAGCCAAGAGAAGAATGTTTCTGAGGAGCAGGTGACTTGCTTTGCACTACTTTGCCATCACCGATGCGTCTGTAACAGCGACAGCTGCAAACAGGCCTTGTGAGACAATGAAGTCCTTGTCCTGCAGTCGCCGCTGGTCAGATCTGTCCATTTGTAACTGTACTGACACCCAAAAACACCCAGCCAACTGCCTCTTCATAGCTGGATGGGGTCCAGCTCTGCGTTGAGTAAGTTTGCTCGAAGGGTGTTAGTTGTGCCTCTTCAAGAAAAATGTTACACTGCGTATCTCTGTCTCTTTTTTTTTCAGCCAGGTGACTTATCTGGGGGTTTGGTTTGGTTCCTAGCAGAGGAAAACCCAAAGGGCCCACATGTACTTTATCTTTTAATTCTTATCTTCCATCACAAGCTATGTCACAGCATTGTTTTAGATTTCTTTTTAAAAAATCAACAAAACCTAAGCTATAGTTAGTCCCACTAATGCTCCCTTTCACAGCTAGACTTTGGGAATAACCTCAGGTTGCACTTCCTTCAGCAGAAAATTTGGCTTGACCTACACAGCAATGAGAAAATAACAGTTCCTTGGATGTCTTAAATGGTTTTCTAATTGCCAGGTGTTACCTAGACAGGGCAGTGTTAAAACAATGAGAATAATGAGGGTTTTTTTTCTTGTGTTAGTTGATATATCATTTGTACTTAATATACATGTGTATTTGAGTTCACTTTCAGGTCCTCTGGTTGTTGCCTTATGTTATGGAAATGACTGGGAATTCATTCAGGCAGGTGGATTTTGATGTGTAGAACTGTGCAAGGTTGCATGAGAGCACATGAACGTCTTTCTAGTGGAAAAAGAATTGAGCAAGCTGACAGATGGATGAAGTAACTCTCCACAGCTTGAAGAGACAAAAGTTACTTTAAATATGCCCTGAGTGGTCAGTCATTGTAGCCTGTTCTACTTTCCACAATATAGCAACTGGAAAGGCCTTCCAAGGGTGCTGTGTTCTGTTGTAAGGGGGTGTGATGAGGGCCAATGGGATTTCTGGTGATTAGGAGGCTGAAGTGCAAATTTCAGTCCTCTAGCCCAAAATTTGCCAGTAGGCAGTCCAAGGTTACTCCAACAGGTCTGTAGAGTGTCAGACTGTCACTGTTACAATGCAGGTCATAAAAATTACTTCTTGACTGTTTTTTCTGATAGTGTTGAGATCTTGTTTTGAAAAATAAAGAGAACTCTGTATAAATGATGGTGTAATTAGGTGATAAGTTCAGCTGACCTACTAACCTAATTGTAAGGGTTGGTGATGGATTTGGCCAAGGCTGCCATCTGGTCATACACAGCAGAGGCCTCAGATGTGTCACATTAGGTCTGGGCTGAAGGAAAAAGGGAAGTCCCTTCAGCAAGCCGGAATTCAAGTCTTGCTTTGCTTAGTGTCTTGAAACTCATGGTAAGAGATGAGTTTTGGAAATAATAATTTACCAATAAAACCAGTTGGTAAATAATGTTTGCACATTTCCTGCTGGAGGAATCCATGGCTAGGGTGAGAATCTGAGCTCAGGGTTGGGGTGTTTCTCTAAAGATGGCTTCATTACACTAATGCTGGTGTGGGCGATAGCGTTATCCAAGGGGGGATAATGCTTAACAAATGAAAAGGACTTGCTCTTGTTTATGGTTCCATATCACAGAGACAGGTGGGAGAGGATTAGCTCCTCTGCCTGTGATAAAGCAAATCTGTTAAGAGGGATTAAAGGGGCTAGATGAAGTGTTTTAATGGACTTATATGAAGTAATAGATTTTTGTCCTGGAGGAATGTTCAGGACTCACTGATACTTCTGCATTTCTTGTTCTGCTAAAATTACCTCCAAATTCTAAGGAATCCTGATTAATTGTTGGCTTTCTTCCAGCTGCAGCATTTGTGTCAGTCATGTTGGTGCTTCAGAAACCTGGAATAAAATTTTGTTCTGCTGTCACACAGCTGGATTTACCAGCCTGACACAGCAAATGGGTTGCACAGGTCTCATTCTGATGAGCCTTCATTTGGTGGACAAGTTGCTTTCAGGGCAGACCTCCATCATTTGTACTTCCTTGCTGTGGCTGTTTCACCTTCCTCTGGCTTATGGGAGGAGCCAAGGGATGGCTTCTCCCGTTGGCATTAGTTACCCAGCCATATGGAGCCTGTGTTAACAAGCTCCGTACTTACTGGAAGGATCTATTCAAAAAACTTGTAATCTCCAGAGTGATATTTACAGCTTGGTTTACATTTGTGATAAAGAGATGCAGTTTCCCAGTATGATGCTTGCAGCTGCCATTCACACTCCTCCTGGTGAAGGTGTCTTGAGGTGAGATTCTTATTTACTTGTTGATAAATACAAATTCAGGACAGGTTTCCTGCAGACCAGACATGGTCTTACTCCTTAGGTTTAAGTATATGGGGGTGAAACCCTAATCTTAGTGAATAACTTTTGATTTTAGCATCAAAGAAGAACTAGAAGTTACCTGCATCTTTCAGTATTCCTGATACATGCATGTGAGAGTATTAGAAAAGGAAGAGAAACAATGTACTTCCAGGGGAAGTAATTCCGAAATTAGCTTGAAAGTGCGTGAATTGCTATTTTTTTTTGAAGCAAGGAAACATACATTTGGTTAGTCCTTAGAGAAAGGTGCGCCCGATAGCCGTGCCTCTGGCATTGGAAGCACGCCCTGTTTTGTAAACCTTTGTATACACTTACAGTGCTGCGACCTGAAAACAAACATCCTCCAGAACACGTTGTCCGGAGGCACAAACGTCTGACAGAGGCTCTGCCCCAAGGGGCTGAACCCCATTGTGTTTGTGCAAGAAGGAGCACAATGGGACATCCTGCCTGACCCCTCGGGGTCGCTGCCATAGTATGACTGGGTTTATTCCATGGAATATTTCTTCTGAATGGAGTTGATGGATTTACACCAGTGATTGAGTTGGCCAGGCGACAGAGCTCTTACACTGCCTTAGGAATGTTGAGCGTTCATAAGTGTTAGGATGTGCTCAGTTTGTAGGATAAAGTGACTGAGAAGTAGCTGGAATACCCAAAACATTTGCTGAAATTACATAACTGATTAACTATTTAATGGATATTTTAAATGAAACTGCTGGGGTTTTATGCTTCAACTTTCAAACCACCTGACAGTTCTTCCAGTGCCGCAAGGATTTGTCTTCCACAGTTCAAACACGAGGAAGAGATGAATTTGCATGACCTGGTAAAGGTCCTCTCCAAAGCATTGTTTCTTGTGTGATGTTTGATTTGTTGCTTTTTGATCCATGCACTTTATGGGTAGGACACTTCCAAACGAAAATGAATAAACTAGTTGCCTGGAAGGAAGGGGGAAGTGCTGGAGCTTTCCTCTAAACTGGATACTGGGAGATTGCAATGTACCTTCTTTTTATATCAAGGTCTCCTTGTCTAAATCTGGTCTCATTTATCCGACCTCTTTTCTTTGAGAGAATAATTGTACACTTGTTCACTTTTCTACATAGGATGGAAAGTTCTGGATGAAATGACTTATGACTACACGAGCACCTGTGCTGTCACTGAGGCACTTGCTGATTTAATACATTTCTACATATTCTGTATCTTGTCCTAATCATGGTGAGGATCAGCCCAGTCAGTCAGGGTGGGAAATACATTATAGTTGGATCTCATGATATTGTTTCCATCCAAAGTCCAGCTCTAGGTATGAACTTTGCCAAATTTTGGCCCTACCTGGGCTTGAATTTACAGATCTGCAAGGGGTTGTGAGGAAATACTGTTATAGCTGAAAACGCATCAATTCTGCTGTGTCAAATAGTCAAAGGGTCTCTCTGGGAGCAAGTGGTAGACACATAAGACACCCTTCTGGAGCCTCCACAGACATTTTTGTATGGGCTTTCAAACCTGGAGCTTTAGAGCCTGTGTGCTCGTTTCCTCCCTTTCCATCCCTTGCTCTGTACTGCAGCAGGAGCATTTGCCATGGTAGCTCTAGTGTCACCCATCACTGCTGCCAGGTGCAGATAACATCCTCTGGAAAAGTTAACCTGATTTGCTCTTCCTGCTGACAACTCTAATGCACTGGGTTTGGGAGAACTTTATCTGTTCAGGTGGCAAAAATTGCAATACCTCCCTAGCAAGTAGCTGAAAACATTCTGCACTTGGACTTAAGTTCTTTGAAATCAACTATGCCTGGTGACACAGCTCTGAGGGAAATAGTCCCCTTTGGCTGGTGGGAAGAGGGAGGCTGGAGGGCTGCGTGTAGCCACGCTGTGAGGCACTGACACAACCAGGAGCCTTTGACCAGCAGTGGTTTAATTACTGAGTCATTCTTCTGTACAGAGAGATGAATGGATGGATAGAAGGATAGATGGGAAAACCTCTTCCTGCCTAAAACTGTAGCACTTTT